ATGATTGGACCCATAGTGTGTCGGCATTCCAACCTGTTGGTTGAGGGCCTGAGGTATTCCAACCCGATGGTTGACTGGACCCATTGTATACTGTGTTGTGATAATTCGTATATTTGTGTGTATGGGTATTTTGGGGGAACTCACTAAGCTTTCGGGCTTACAGTTTCAGTTTATTGTTTCAGGTACATCAGGGGATCGAGGCGAGGCAAAGGCATGATCGTACCGCTCCTCACATTTTGTTATGTATTTCTGGGAAAACTCTGATAAAAACTATTTTGGAAACAAATTTGTAGTAATTAATGGTTTTAAATGTTTTTGTAAAGTTTAAATTTGACTTAAATTTTATGGGTGTTACAGTTATGGTGTGTGGTGGTACTTTGGGGCTGTTTGGATATATATATATATATATAGATATATATATATATATATATATATATATATATATATATATATATATACTAGTGGTGTACCCGCGCGATGCAGCGGTAACGATTTGTTTTTCTTTCCTGCAATTGGATTTCGGCCGAAAATTAGTTTCACTTCAGTGGTGGTCAACTTGTATATTTTTGGTGTATAGTTTTATTTTCTTTCGACAGAGGCTATTACTTAGGTTAAAATAAAAGTATGTTATTTTTTTTAAATACGCCAGTTTTTAGTTAATAACACAAATATGTTGTTTTGTACGCCAAACTATGTAATAAAATGCTCATGTAGTGATGTTAACATATCTAGCATTTTATATTAAAATTTTGATCAAAAATTATATTCTAATTTTTTTAATACCACTATTATAAATAGTTGAAAAAGAATATTATTTGTTATTTTATCTTTTATTAGTTTACGAATTTTATTTTTATTTTTAGATCGGTTGAATTTTTTTTTTTCGAAACCACAAATATATTGATAAATGTCCACCCTTAGCAAGTACCTAAAAAGCGCAAGGCAGGATAAAGTTACAAAATTACTTATTACAGATTAAGATAAATAAAATGAGACAGACACCGATTTGATCGGTTACCACAACCAAGTGAACTTCTATGTTTAAACCAAACATACCATTGTGTAATGACACTGTTTGCAATCTTCGTTGGTAGACACAAGATGATTGTTGGTTGGTGGAGAAAATAGGTGAAGGAAAAGGCGGTCAAAGAAGATGGTCATAGAAAATTGGTGAAGGAAGAGGTGGTCAAAGAAGATGGCGTAAAGCAATATATATAATAATATTTATTTGGAAGTTTATGCACATATACAACTATATATATGTGTGTTGTGTAGCAGAGAATGTGTGCATCAAATATAACTTGTAGAGTTATAAATTGTAATCTTATTGAGTTAATAAGAAAATCTAGTTGCAGCCCGTGGACGTAAGATTTACACCGAATCCGAACCACGTAAAATCCGTGTGTTCTTTATTGCTTTATTTTCGTGAGTTTGTGAGTGTGTGACAGTGTGTTTCCGCTGCGTGTACCCGATCCGATTCCTAACAATGATAGCGGTGAGAACCATCCTATTCTTTGGGCGATTGCCCCCATTTAACCGCAATGATTTGAAATGGATGAAAAATGCTTCATAGAAATACCATACCAATTTGAGATCCACTCCCATGCTTCTTGCGTCACCTTGCATCTGATAGGGATGTGATCTTCATTCTTCAGATTCCATATCAATTCCAAATGGACATAATGTGGATTGGACATTTATGCCCCTGCACGTGCAAATTGCAAGCGGCAGACAACCTCTTTAATTATCTTCTCCATACAGAACATTTGGCCATGATTGAAATTTCTTTTAAATTACAAATCACTATGTTGTGTGTTGTGAGTGTTTACTCATTTTATCTATCACCAAAGGCTTATGATTTTGTAACAAATTTATAAAAGTGTATCGTAAGATTTTGTAACCAAATTTTTATTATACGTCGACATTAATAGCTATGTGTAGTAAAACATTTATCATTATATGTCGACATTAAAATTATCTTAACTAAATTATAAATCTGACTTTATAATATTTTTTTGATGCACTTAAAAGGTGTAAATGTCTTCTAAAATTTAATAGATAAGTATAACATTTTTAATTGGTATCATTCTTCTTGTCAACTCAATTTTTTTATGTTATTTATTAAATATAATTACTTTTGAAATATTAATTAAAAATTGAATTATCGGGAAGAGTAAGAAAAATAGTTCGATTATCAATACAAAAGAAGTATGCGAATAGACAGCCACTTAATTTGGGTTGTGCTATAAGTACCCCCTTAACTCATTTTACCCCCTAACATCAATCTAATCAACTTTTTATATTTGATTTGACATCATTTTTTTCTTTTTCTTTTTCTTTTTCTTTTTTTTTTTTTTTTTTTTTTTCCTTTTTATTTTTTTGTTGTTTTTTCTTTTAATAATAATAGTAATAATAATAATAATAATACTATTATTATTATTATTATAAATTTCGATAATCATATAAAATTCGGACAACATTTTTAAAATTCGGACAACATTATAAATTCGGACGACATTATAAAATTTCAACGACTATATAAAATGGAACAAAAGTAAAGTTTGTTTCCAATCCACATAACGCACCACGCAAATGTAATAACGAACCAATTAATATATCCGTTATAAATAAAGACAAACTTTGTTTTTGTTCTGTTTTATATTGTCGTTTGAATTTTATTATGTCGTACAAATTTATAATGTCGTACGAGTTTTAAAATTTCATCTGAATTTATAATATCATCGGATTTTAAAAACCGATTTATAAAATATAAATTAAAAAAGAATTAAAAACCGATTTTATATAGTCGTTCGAATTTATAATGTCATCCGATATATAAAATGTTGTTCGAAATTTATAATAATAAAAATAATAATAGTAATATATAATAAAAAATAATTAAAAACCGATTTTATATAGCCGTTCGAATTTTATAACGTCGTCCGAATTATAATTTTTTTTTCAAAATTTATAATAATAATAATAATAATAATAATAATTAAAAACAACAAAATAACAAAATAAAAAAAAAACAAAACAAAAACAACAAAAGACAAAAAATCAAATCAATGATGGAATTGAAAAAAAGACAAAAAATCAAATCAATGATGGAATTGAAAAGTGGAATAGAATACCCATAAAACAAAGTTTTGTTTCTTTCAATATGAGCTTGTAAAATTTTCTTTTTCAACAAGCTTTTTGGTCATTGATTTGATCAATGAGAGAACCAATTTATTTTAATATTTGTTTTTTTAGTTTCTTTTAGTTCCATATCAACCGATGCTATCCAAATAATCATGGACGCATTTTATATACCCCTTCATTTTTTTTAGCAGAAATAGTCTTTATATGTTAATTTTATCAAAAAATGTTGATTGAGTTAAATATGCAAATACCAAACGCCCCTTAGTTTATTAGGTTAAAAATAGATTTCAATTTTGACAATTTTCATTAACATATATTGAACATCTTTGACCAAATAACATGTGTTTATGGTCGTTTCATGTCTTTGCGTCTTTAGAAATATCGATCCATACTTGTGCCAATGTTATAACTTCTTTGGGTTCCCATGATTTGGTCACCGTTTTCTCCTTTTTTTTTACTTGGTGCTTTAGTGGTTGGGTTTCTCGAATGATTTCGGGGTCGGAATCTGAAATGGGTGATTGAGTCTCTTGAACGAATTTGGGTTGAAACACAAAGTTAAACAAATTAAAGTCGGTGTCGTTTTGTGGTTGTGACTATCGTTGTGGGAATTGGTGTGGATAATACGGTAGCATACCACCATAGTGATAAACCGTATGCGAATAAATCGGTTGATCATAAGAAGGTATTGGGGTGTTTCTAATGGGTGTTTCTTGGTTGTTTGGGTTGTTGGAAAAAGACATGTTGAAAGTTTTGAAAAAAAATATTGAAAGATAGAAGACCTGGATTAAGGTGTGCTATATTAAGGGTTGTAAGGTTTTATTTATAGGTAAAAAAAAAATCGACTTTAAAATATCTGGTCGTTCAAATGTTGGGAAGAGAGAGAGAGTGTGTGACAGATTTTTATCGTAATTAAATAAAATTGTGAAATTTTGAATAGATGTTTTAAAAAGTATTTAAGGGCAAATTTAAATACTTTTTTTTTATTTGATTTTTTTTATTTAAGTCAATATTTACCTACTACTAAAATCGGTTAGTGGGTTAAAAATATTTTTAGTGATTTCCTACAAACACAGGGTATATCACATTATTATGTTTTGAATTCTTTTGGAGCAGACCTTCGACTATAACGTAGTAGATTAGTTTGAACTAAGACTCTTTTGAACGATAGTTATAATAATGTGTCCGTTAGAAACTTGGTGATCGATTCTAGTATGTAAATAATGGTTGAAATGTAAATTTATAAATTAAATATCAGGAAAAAACTTATCATTTTTTTAGCTTGCTCATTATTTAAACGAAAACGGTCACACCCTCTGTCTAGAAAACGAATTAACACAAAGAAAAAAAGATACGACTCATTATTATATATCATTAGACAGCATATAAACAGGTAATTTTTTATTAGAAAATGTTTTGTGTGTATTTATGGGGTTATAACCATGAGGATGATGATACCTTTTAATCATGAGGGCTTATACACAACACCATAATAATACGATATTTGATAGAGTTATGGTGCATATATGAATATTCCCAACGTTGGCCAATGAATTGTCAATGCAAGAATTTGTACGGTACAAGTAAACAACGTACAAATGAAAAATTGAAAGTTGAATAAAAATTTATTTAACTTTGTACATTATGGTGAGATTAGATTAAGCTTCGTTTGAAATGCATATAAATAGCGGAACAAATACTTTCATTATTTGTCTGTCATGGGGAAGTAGTTTCATTACTTTCTGCTATAGCATTTTACCTAGAAAATCTACAAATTATAGCAATACCAAGCAACTTCCAAAACAATTTTTACACTACAATTGAGTAACTTTTTTTATAAAGTAGAACAACCAATAATTGAAGGAATATGCTAAAATATAGAAATAAATAAAAGTAATCTGCTAACTGCTATTGCTTGCATTTGACACTTGATTAGAAAACAAATTGAAGGGTTTGTCATTTTTGGGTGAAAGCCAGAAAAAGAAAAAGATTTTCCCTAGTAGTTAAATGAAATAAATCAAAGTTTTTCTCTCTTCCGACTCCATCATAAACCATGGAAATGGTTATCTTTCTATCCCTCTCTCTTCATGTGTCATATTTTTTAATAAAAACTATAAAAATAATTTTTAGAGAAAGTAATCAATGTAGTATGTTTTGGTACTGCATAATGTAATGGGCATACTTAAGTTTTAATACCACATAAGCTAACAAACACTACACTTGTATAGAGCATAAACACAAGTTCCTTCAAATAAGCAAACACCTTCATATTTGTTTCATTATTATACCACATTGAAATGTCAATCGATCGAAATAAAGCAACCGGAATTTCTACCACCTTTATTGAATTTCAACTCTTTCTTCTCCCGATCGAATGTGATTAGGACACATCCTGGGTCTTTTTCCTGGTCCCACTTGATACCTTCATCATCTAAGAGATCCGTAACCTGCAACAAGCATCCCACAATTTAAGTTAGACAAAAACATACATATATTCAAAAAAACAAAATACCAATTTCTACTAAAAAAAAAAAACTAGACTTGATTCATACCGCTTGTTTTAGATCCGACCCGTCATGTCCTGTGTTGACATGGAGATGCCCCAGAGCTGTAGACCACAGCGATTAAAAGACATATATATATATATATATATATATATATATATATAATGAAGTCGATACTTACTTCCACAATATACACCAAATATAAGGTGCTTTTTCAGATAATAAATTCCATCTTTCACACTTTGTCCACTTAAATTGAGTTTTATCCGATTTATGTGATTTTCCAAGGAGCCGGATGGAAGAAGAGGTGCAGAAACAACACTAGCATAACTCCTACAAGAAGATCAATGTTAGTTGTTGGACTTGGACTACTTTTCGCGATATTGATAAACATCATTTTGCTACAACTCTGATATTAGACAAGTGAATTGAATAGGGGTAATAGAGGAAATCAGCAAAACAAAGTGCATCTTAATAGGGAGGGGTAATTTAGGTATTTAATTTATTTAGTTTGTTGCATCATCATACATATAAGAGGAGGGTAGTGGGAATCTTTTGTTCTTAAACCATTTGATTTGAGTAATAAGGAAGGAATTGCAGTCTGTTTTCTTCACTAGTTCATTTTGATGACATGTTTGTGTTGTGTGTTACTTCTTAGATCAAGTCAGTACATAGCAGATTAAAAACCACCCAAATAAAAGATTATTGGAACCAAAATCATCTGGTATCAATACAAAACAAAGTAATCTTAAATAATTTCTGCAAAAAAGCTAATCTCAGATGAATTAATTTGAGCCTATTACCTGTAATTACCACCCCTGAATGACATATCACCCTTTTGGAGATCATTCTTAGACGGTAATCTCTCTAACTGTCAGCAACAAGAATATGTTAGATGACAGGTCACCGATATCCAAAAAAACTCAGTTTCAGGCACATGATCCATAGTAAAAAGGCATATAATTTTACCATAACATCTTTGACTGTTAAGGGCTTTCTTGTGTTTGAGGGCTTTCTTGTCTTTGAGGGCTTTCTTGTGTTTGAGGGCTCGGTAGCATCACGAGTTGCTTCACATGTCTGACAATATGAAAACTAAATTAATCGATAAACAGACCACAGAATTCATGGTGATCATGCATCATTTTCAGGCACACGATCCATATTTAAAACGTATAGAATAAAAAAGCCATAACCTGAACCTTCTCAAAAGCAGCGGACGCATTCGATTCCAAATCCCCTGTTCCAGACATGCCGCCGATGCCCTGCACGAAGCATATATGAAATTAGAAAAACAAGAACATCGTCTTCTTTCATATTAATAGAAATCATAACACTATCACAGACTTACAGATTTAAGAAGAACGGAATCCAAGTTTGAGTTTAACAATCCCTGCAACCAAGCAAAAACTCTCAGAAACGTTCGCGGTTTCTTACCGAAAAGGCAAAAGAAAACCCTAGAGGTGTCGATTCTATATACGCGCTCCTCGTCATCTATCAGACTCGTCCCTTTAGTTCCTTTGCTTCTTGTCCCTTCCCTTTACTTTTACCCTTTTGTCACATTTTACCCAATTACATTTTTCCTACACAAAAACATGGTAAGTCAAAATATAAAACCACACAACCTTTTTTACTATTATTCAAGTTTTGGGGTATGATACAAACTTTAGTATTTCAAAATAGGGTATGAATGAACTGAATCTTCAACAAATTGCCCGTGAACCTGTAACATCCCAAAAAATTATGACGTAAAATTTTCATTTTTAATATAATCAAAACACCCATTTATCATTTATTCAAACATTTAGAAGTATTTCAAAATAAAACAGTTATCATAGTACAATTCCAAAAATCACGAGTTGCAGAAAACATAGGTGTGTGTGATGCGATCAAGTCAAGCTTTTCCCTTTCGAACTGGAAATACCTGAAACCATAAACAACAAACTATAAGCACGAAGTTTAGTCGGTTACCCAAAATACCACACACCATACATATCATACATGCAATAGAAGATGCTAGGTGCCGACCATAGTCTTGCCATTTTTCCACGAGTCAGATCATGGTCTTTCCTTGTCAGGTCGGGGCCAAGGTCGAGAGCAAATACTTGGGCGAAGAATAGTTTGTCGGTTTTTTTTTTTAATTATTAGGACTATCGTGTGTTTTTTTTCAATGTTTTTTTTTGGTTTGTAATTTCTTTAAAGTTTGTATGGTATTTTTAATTTACTATTTAATGAAATTATGTTTTATTAATTTATATGTTTTTTTATAAATATATGACATAAATAAAAAGATAAAACGAATTAGAACTATATGAAGTAAATAAAAAATTAAAAGAAATTAGAATAATAGAAATTAAAAACATTCAAAAAAATAAAAAAAGAAATAGAAAATAGAATGCGTTATCCCATGTTATTTGATATTGCTCATTTACACATTTGGTGTTATAACACCAAATTATGACTAGGATGATGAGATGGACAATTTGGATGTGATAACATGTAATAACATGTTGCCTACACCTAGTAGTCTTAAAGAAAACATGAAGAACAGATTTCTATGGAGGGGATTAGCCAGGGGGCCCATTTATTTTTCTTGTCACCTTAATGCTTTGAATCGTGTTGGGACAACTTGTCTTCTTCTAGTGTATGGTGTACACTACACCTCCTCTCTCTTTTTTTTTGGGTAAAATACCGGGTATAGGCACTTTTTGGGGTTGAATTCCAAAATATAGACATAACATAAAAAATTGGATTTCCGAGTATAGACACAGATTCCGTGGAGGTAGCTCCGAGGATCTCCGCGGAATGGCAAAATCGTAAATAAATCAGGTATTAAAAAAAACTCAACATCTATTCCGTGGAGCTACCTCCGAGGAATGACTTCATTCCACAGAGGTAGCTCCGATGAATGGATCTTCAGGGAAAAAAAAACATCTCTAATGATTATTTTATGTAAGGATCTGCAATTAAAAGATCAATTTCTTTCCACCTCACATTCATTTTAAACATTGTCAAGAAAAATTCATACTATCATAATCTTTTCTTAAAAATAATTAATATAAACCCCAAAGAATCGATGTTAAAAAAAAATCTGAAGATCCATTCCTCGGAGTTACCTCCTTGGAATGAGTTCATTCCATGGAGGTAGCTCTGCGGAATGGATCTTGAGTTTTTTTATTAATACCTAATTTATTTACGATTTTGCCATTCCGCGGAACTACAATAGATTCCGCGCAACTCCTTAGAGCTACCTTCGCGGAATCCATGTCTATACCCGGAAAATCCAATTTTTTGTGTCTATATTTTGGAATTCAACCCCAAAAAATGTTTATAGCCGATATTTTTTTTTTGGTCTGCTGAGGTGCAACAAAAGCAACAACACCATTCTTTGTATTCTCTTCCCTATTTTAAAAAAACTTTTTTTTGGTTCTTTGTATTCTCTTCCCTTTTTTTTGGAACTGTAAACTCTAAGGGTAAAACTGAAGTGATGGCGTAAATTTTTGAGATAGTGAATTTTTTTCTCTTGTTGGTGGTTTTGTGAGGTGTCCAAGTATAATAAAGTTGTACAAATGAAATCATTAATTAAAATGGATTTCTGATAATATAAACTTAAGAGAAAATAGAAAAAGACAAAAACTCACATTTCCATTTTTTTCAAAGATGAACAAAAGCACAAAAAATGTGAACAAAAACTTCTAGAAATTATTTGCAAACTTAAACAATGTTTAAAACAAACTTTTTGAGAAAAAGGAGCTAAACATACAAAATCTTGTCTAAAAACAACTTTATGGTGATGTATGAGCTAAAAATGGTAAGAATTATAGAAATTTATTTCTTTCTCCAAGCTTCTAAACAATCATAAATAAAGGATTTTTTTAAAATATGTGACTTGAAGGTGGGGTAAAAACTCATAAAAACTTTCTTCTCTTTTTTCAAACTTCTAAAGAAAAAAACAAATAATCAACAAAAATTTATTTTCTTCTCAAACTTACTAAAAACCCCAAGATATAAACAAAAAGGGAATTTGATGAGGTTTTCTTCTCATACAACTTTATTTTCTCTAGAACTTACTCAACAGACCCTCAAAATATGAACAAGAAACAAATCTTTTGAAAAATTTTGTTTTCCTTTTCCAAGTTTTTTAAAGAAAATACTAAATAGACAACTTCAAAGGAGTTTTGCAAAGAAAACCATAAACTGAAAGTGATTTCTTTGCAACATAAACTGAAAATAAAGTAAATATTTACCAAAAAGTTCTTCAACTCTCAAGTTTCTTGCATAAAACATCAAAATATGAACAAAGATGGAGAAAAGCTCGTAAAAACCTCTTTTCTCCTCGAAAATATGACTAAAAACGGGTCTGAGCTGGTGTTTTTAAACTTGAGAGGTGATTAAGTGAAACAAAACGTTCAGATCTAGAGACCTGAGCTAAAAATGAAGTAGATCTATAGATCTGAACAAAGTGTGCATTAGATCGAAAGATCTGAAACATAGTTAATCAGATCTGGATATATCTTTGGCAAAATCCAAACGGATATGACCTAGTGAAAGTAGAAATGAACGGATCTGCGCAAACCTTAGATGAAGAACACATCAGATCTATTCAGATCTGGCCAAGAACGAGCTTGAGACCAACTGAGATGGTGGCGACTCGTTCAAGTCCGGGATGGTGTCAAATGATGCGACTTCGGCACCGACCACCTGCTCTAAGGATGTGCTTCTACGTTGGAGATAGAGCTGCGAGGTTACAACAGACAAGACTATTAGAGCCGCCCCAGGGACTGTGCCCCAGGAGCGGGCTCTGACGGTCAAGTTAGATCATCTGGTAGATCTGAGATGGTCCTCTTTAGCTAGAGAGAACCATCTTGGTACTGGTGGTGTATGGTGGCTGACGGCGGAGGGTGGCTGCTGAGCCACCCGGTCGGAGTCTAGGGCGGCACCTGAGCCGCCGGGGAAGGATCCCCCTCCATAGAGGAGGTACTGTTCACTTTATAGGGGACAATTAGGTCAAAGGGAATTAGGTCAGGCCTTAGGTCAGCCCATATCATGCCCAGCTATCAAGCAGCTAGGCAAGGCCGCCCTGAGGCACCGGGCAAGGCTGGCGGGCGCTCCCAGGCAAGGCAGGCGGGCGCGCACCAGGAAAGGCTGGCGGGAGCACGCCAGGAAAGGCCGACAAGGGAGCACCGGGTCGGACTAACAAGAGAATCCCCAACAAGGCTAGCAAGGGAAATTCATGCTAGGGAGCACTAGGCCGGGCCGATGGGAGAGTCCCCAGCAAGGCTGGCAAGGGAGTCTCCAGCAAGGCTGACGGAAGCGCACCAGGCAAGGTTGACACACTAGAATGGTCTAGGTCATGCTAATAGACCATATATCATATATATATATATATATATATATATATATATATATATCATATATATATATATATATATATATATATATATATATATATATATATACACATATATATATACACACATACAAAATACATTATGTGGGCCTACAATAAGCAAGGCCACGTATGATGGTTCCATATTCGAGCGTCGTTGGAATTCTTATGTATGTTATGGTCTGCTCTAAAGTCTAGACCTGATATGGATCATATAGTTAGTGTGGTAAGTTTATGATTAATATATAGAAGACTCATGGTGGGATGTCAAGTCCACCAAGCAAATTACACCCTTTGTTTGCAAATAAAACGTAGTATAATGGTAAAAAGGGGTATCGATCCTCGGGGAAATGGTTGTATTCAATCACCAATGCAATCCAATAGAACTAGTGAAATTTAACTAACTAACTACAATTAAACTAAAGGGGGGGGGGTGTTTGATTGCTTGAAAACTAAAATACTTGAATAACTAAAAAGCTTGCAATTAAGCAAGTTGATGAGATGCTCAAATGTTAGGAATAATTGGTTAACGAAGGCAATTCAACACAATGAACATTTGTGTGTTTATCATTAGGATCCAATACAAAGCTTATCATTCATCCCAAATTGGTTATAGCAATCATAAAGCATGATATGCCAAGATTCCTCTTAGGTAGTATGGAAGTTGGGGAAGTCCACAACACACCTTCTTAATCAAGGTCAAGGGTCAGTTGAAGCAATTAGACCCAAGAAATCAATTAACCTTAAGAATTAAGGAATCCCCAATTCCTAGAGGATATCAATGCTTATACATCCATAAAGGAGCTATGATTCATAAGCTAGAGATGATTTCTACCATCATAAAGCTCTTGTTCTAAGTAGATTTAATGATTCAATACAAAACCAAAGAAATAAACCAACAATTGCTCATTCAAGTACTAAGCTCATGATCAAAGTATCAAACAAGCATAAGAATTATAATCTAGAATCATAAACATAAGATAAATTGATAATCAACATGAATCCTTCAAAACCCACAAACATTCAATGGTTTTCAGCCAAAGTTAACCAAAATAAGGAAATTAGCCACTCATGGCAATAAAATAACAATAACAATAGTCTAATTGCATAAAGAAACTACCTAAGACTTGGAAAGATGAAAGAAAATGAGTTTCTAGCTCCAAAATCGCCTCTTGCAGGTCTCCAATGGTGAAAAATTGTGATTATAGCTTCTAGATCTGATCCCCCAAGGTTATGGTGTGCCAAATGACAAAAATACCCAAACTGGGCAGTTGCGTGGGTACCCGCGCGACGGAAATCTCACCCGCGCAAATGTTGTTGTAATCTTATTGGTCCTTCATTCATCCACTCCACTCTTCCACTACCAAAGATTCCTTTGCTCCCCTCCATATCCATGTGATTTAAACCAACCAATCATCATTTAGCTACAAAAATGGATGCTCCAAGCCCAAAAATAGAAGTTTATGACCCATCTTCACAAGTCCAAAAATATCCAAGTCTTAAACTCTTAAGGCCCAGATCTCCGTTAGAGGATCCGATAAGCCCAATAACGCCTCGAGAGCCCACAAAGCCCATCTTCACTCTAATCCACAACCTCAATAAGCTCCAAAACCCTGCAAAATACCTTATGCAAAATAAAAAGCACCCAGTACGATCCATAATAAAGAAAGTAAATAAAATACAATGCAATATTAATAAAAATACCTAAAATTTCTAAAATAAACTAATAAAAAGAAAGAAATAAAATAAACTATCAAATCACCCCGAGCTTAAACCTAACTTGTCCTCAAGTTAGAACAAGACTAAAATGAACTCGGGATGAGCTAAACTAAAAAGTGAAAAAGAAAGATACCATAGAACTTGGTCAACATCAGTCAACATGGTCAGAATTAGTCCTTCATGGACCCTACGCATCGTCAAAATGTTCCCCGCGTTAAAGGCATAAACCACATTCTCAACCACTTACGGGCGAATAGATTCCGGCTGGATGCGGTCGCGGTGTGCAAGACAAAGGAAACAGAGGATGCGCCCAGTGGGGGCACTTTAAATCACCAATGCAGACCATAGTGCATGAAGGAAAGGCGCCTCTTCACACACTATGATTCCTGCATTTGTCAGGCTAAAGTGTATAATAATGAAATAGGGCTTTGCAGCACGGCCTCCGGGAAAACATCCGGTTTCAGGGGCTTCTCCCTTGTACTGTCCTTTACAATCTACCGTCTCATCGTCGAAGCCTTTTCTCACCAAAATCAAAAATAAACCAAAATAAGAAAAATCTACTTAACCTAAATCTAAACATATTAACCTAAATCTTCAATCTTGAACTTCGGTCTTCAGTTTTCTTTGTTGCTTGATCTTTTGTCTTCTTATTTCTCTCTCTCTCTCTCTCTCTCTCTCTCTCTCTCTCTTTGAATCTTCTTTTATCGGCTCTTATTGTCTTCGTTTTTCCAATTTCTTCATTTTTTGTGTTTTCTTCTTGGAAGGTCTAAGGATTTTCACCATATAACATAGGACTCCAATAGTGAAAATGGAGCAATAGATGGAGGCTAACATGAACACCTAATGATCTTTGACAATGTGCCAAGATCTACTAAAAAGGGTGGGATATGACTCAAAAATGGGTGTTACCGAAAAAACTTGGTCCCAAAAGATGTGAATTTGGGGACCCACTTCAAAGTTCATCAAGCACCTCAATGTAAGGTGTGATAAACAAAATATATCTAACTATCTACTTTAGACCCCTAGAAAAATGATGACCTATCTTAAAAAGGTGGTGAGAGTCTAACTAAGTAAGGCTCGGACGAGACTCGGGAGTACTAAAGGGTACTCCCCCTAAAACCAAGATGCGAGTCTTCAATGTCTTCAAAATATTTTACTGGGCTAATCTTTGCTCACACACATCGGTTTGACCAACTACAACCCTCCGCACCTAGACCCAATTAAGCTTCCTGCATCTGATCCCCACACAAGCGGTCTCAAAGTGGTATGTGAGGCTCAAAACGTGTCCTATTTATCCAATACAAGGAATTCCATATCAAGACCCGGGACCAATCTATGATTCAATACTTATGACTCGGCGCTCTGGTACCTGTAGGGATGAGAAGACAAGAGAGAATAAAAAAGCATGAACTTAAACTAGAATGCATCTAAAAAGCATGAAAATTAGAAAAGAAAAAACAAAATATGCAATATTTTTGAAATTTTTTTATGCAATTTTTATGAATGAACTAAATGACTTACTCTAAATGCAACTATATACAACCTAAATGTAATAAAAATAAAATATAAGAATACCCCACCCCAAGCTTAAAATAAAGCATTGTCCTCAATGCTTAGGATGAGAGTAAGGAATGATCATACCGGGATCAAGGTGGAGGAGGCCCGTGAGGACGGTATGGAAGCAACACATGGGTCGTACAATGATGTGTGGATGGAGTTCTTGGCCACCTAAATACACATGGATGAAAGCTTGGTCGCGCAAAGGAAGCACATGTAATGACACATAATTTTCTTATGAAGTGGCATATTTGAGCGGGTACCCGCGCAAAGTGTAGCAGCCGCACGCACACATCAAAATACACCTCAAGTTGGAGGAATTTTGGAGCTCAGATTTGCGCGACTGGGGCTGGGTCGCGCAAGGGTTGCGCGGGTGGCAGTCGGTCGCGCAAACATTTGCGCGGGTGAGGAACCGGCCGCGCACATACATCAGAATGCATCCCAAGTGGGGGTAATTTGGAGTCGGATTTTGCGCGGCTAGGGGTCGGCCGCGCAACTGTTGCACGGGTACCCGCGCAAATTGTAGATTTTTGGCATTTTTTTTTTTGCAAACTTCACCAAAATCATTGCTAAACTTCAAGATGCTTATTTTTTTTTTGACCAACTTCAAGCCTAGAAACACCAAAACTTCAAGTGGTTATCTATCCACAATGCATTTATTTAACGTCTTTGCCAAGACATAGTCCCGCTTCCTTCAATCTTCATAAGTCGGTGTTTCCAATGTTACATTGTCGAATTCTCCTATGTCAAAGCCCTCATAAAATGGTTTCAAGCGGTGCCCATTCACTTTGAAGATTTGGTTTGTTGCCAAACTCTTGATTTCAACCACACCAGGATCAAACACTTTTATAACAATGAAAGGTCCGTGCCATCGAGATCCCAATTTTCCCGGGAATAGCTTTAAGCGTGAATGATAAAGAAGAACTTTT